TGTTTGTGTTCATCCAAAGTTTTCCTCAAAGAACGAGAAATTAGCTTTTTCCCTTACTTGGGAAATGCATAATTTGTACAAAAGGGTGACATGTAATAATGAGGGCGTAGAAAAATAAAAAGCTTCAATAATAAGCAAAGTCGCAGTCAAAGAAGTGTGTTTTAGGCTTCAATTTGGGAAATGGGACAGCAGGCACGCAGATGGACGTGCAGGAATTGGGGAATAACCAAACAATAATGCTAGTGCAGATTTTCTTTTTCCGTTTTAAATTATCGAATGATATGTTCCCACGTGACACAATGCTACACGTACAACTGACAAATAGTAGAGTGTTATGTGACATTATATGATCTTGTAAAGGAAAAGCGTGTGACTTTTTCCTTAATTTTTTTTTACAACTTGCTTGCACCCTAATCCTGACTGCCTGCTGGTTTACAACTTTTGTCCTACTTCTCTATTTTAAAAGCTTGTGATAGAATGTGGTAACTGTCGACTATAAGGGCTTGTTTGGAGGAAATTAAAAGCATAATTCTGATCATTAGTGAGTCCCACGACTGCCTAAAATGTGTGAAGAAAGTCAACAATGGAGGTTACTAACAGTTCAATAACTGCTTAAGATTTGGATTAAAATTGCCACCAGACAAATCCTAAAAGATAGAGAGATTGGTAGAACATTTTTCTTTCAATTTGACCTTCTTACTTCCTTTTGTATTTCAATTATATCAGCAAATCAACTTCCATTAGTAAGTTTTCTGACATGTTTACTAACAAAAATCGACTTTTCAATGCAACTAACAATGTAAAAAAAAAAAATGGTTGGACAACTAAAATAAAAGTTCCCTTATAGTTCAATAACCAAAAGGTATTTTTAACTCTTCCTCAATATGTTTCTCTTTGTTTGTGACTTGAGATTAGTTGACGAGACTTAGAAATCACATCAATGGGGTGTCGTCACAAAGAAGTAAATATGATAATTTTAAGACTCGATGGAATGTGGTGACCATCGACTCTAAAAGATATAGAGATCAGTAGAACATTTTTCTTTCAATTTTACCTTCTTACTTCCTGTTGTATTTCGCTTATATCACCAAATCAGCTTCCATTAGTAAGTTTACTAACAAAAATCGACTTTGCAATGCAACTAGCAATGTAAAACAAAAAAAAAAGTTCGACAACTAAAATAAAAGGTTCACTTATAGTCCAAATCAGATTTTAATTCGAACCAAACATGACTTAATATGTTTCTCTTTGTTTGTGAAGATTAGTTGACGAGACTTAGATATCACATCAAAGGGTTTATATTGACGAACCAAAGGGTTCCACGTGGATTCAAAGCGTAATGGCAGGGCAATCATGTGAGTGCATCTTTGTCACATTTGTCCTTTTTCACATGAAATTTTTCCTCAATCTGATAAAATGGACAACAATATCAAAAGGCTTGTCTAGTCTTTCTACTTTTAATGATCCAAAAAACAAACGTCACAAATTGTGTGGTGTTGAAGTCCATAGGTTTTTTAGTTTGAATTTGTCTCACCATATTATTTAGATTAAATGTATGACTGGACCTTGGACACCCTCGGATATGTCTCGATGCATGTCCGCTTCATAGGGATGATAAAAAAACTTATTCAACTCGAAATACGTGAGGCCCCATCCCGAACAGGGCTGTGATTATCCCCCTAATCGGGTAAATGGGGAGGGGACGAGACAAGGGTCATTGCCCGGAAGTCGGGTACGAGGCGGGTACGAGAATTATAGTTTCCGCCCCGCTACTCGTCTCATTTAAAGTTAATTTTAAATTTAAATTTTTTATCAAATAAAAATAATAGATTTATCATATTTTTAAAGAGAACATAAGTTGTTTCTAACAAATTGGTAAAAAAATAATAATGTTTACTAAGTAGAGACATAAAAATAAAATAAATAAAAAATAAATGGGACGATAAATGGGACAGGGAACCTGCACCGCCTTGAACCCACCCTATCTCGCTTTAAACGGGTACCTAATGAGACGGGGTGGGAATGATCAACCCCGTCTCATACCCGCTTTGTTGTCATTCCTACCACTTCAGCATTTAATAGTAGTATAACAAAAATCGATTCAAGCTTCTAGAAAAGGGTCAAAAATTGGATATGCCTCGATGCATGTCCCATTTAACAGCAGCGTAACAAAAATTGATTCAAGCTTCTAGAAAAAGAGTCAATGGTCAAATTCACCCTAATGATTGTTTAAAAAGTAATAAATAAATAAATTTATAGAAAATCAGGAGATGAATTTTTGGTCAATTTTCATAAATTTAAACCGGTGAAATAAAAAACGAGTCAATAATTTTCATAAAACCAAGTAAAAATGGCGAATTTTTGGACGATTTTTAAAAGATGGGTTTTTATGTCTAACCAACCCGATTTCTGATTTGCCGATCAAACCGAGAGGATCGAACCAGTTTAATACATTACAAAAAATGAATAAGATGATAATATATTAACAAATCTTGAAAGAAGAATACTTTTTTTTTATTATTAATAAACATTATGGTCGATTTAGATGGCAATGGGATTGCCGAATCGTGAACCAATTATTTAAAACGCATCACAACTTCATTGACTAATGAATCGGAGATCCAATGCCATATAAATTGCACCGAAAAATAAATTGAACCATCCACTATCATCCAAATTCATGATTAATAACATTACTCATCTTGAATAAGAAATTCGGACGTAAGGCATACATAACACATGGAGCCCACATAAGCTTGAAAGAGCTACCATACCAAAGAGGTGGCGCACCCGACAATTCAGTCCATAAAAAAAGCATGTATTCAGTGTCATACATTCACCTGCTCCACTGCGCCTATATCATGAGATAGGGAATAATATTTAGAATTATGCTAGGTTACATTTTTCCTTACATTATATGAAAATTTAAAAAGTATTGAACGAAAAAATATATATATATATTTTAAAAATTATCAAATCATGTATCGACGCGTCACACAACATAAAAAAATACAAATTTGCTACATCTTACATGGAGGGTGGGGCCCACAATCGCGGGACCCATATTATGTGAGAGAGCTGTACATTGTACAGCATTTAAAAGCTGTACAAATAACTTCTGTGTAAAACAAAATGTACATATAACATGATTGTTATATTATTAATTGGATCGGTTCAAAGTACACGTATTTAAAATTATTTCATTTTAAAGAATAATTTTTCTATAATATTTGATAAACAATTAATAGAGCCATTTGTTTTTAAAATTCAATTATTAGACTTTAATGCACAAAGTAATAAAACAATAACTTAGATTTTAATTTTCTTCTTTGACTTTAATTTTTAGCCGACAAGGATATGTAGTTGCTTAGATTGGTCCAAATTTCATTCGTAAAAGTAAGGATCACTGGTTGGCCATTTGTCATGGAGAAAAATGTTGTTGAAAAAGGATGGGAGGGGAAGCCATTTGTACAATGTTTTCTTACCACATTCATGCCACGAGGGGCATGTTATCAACAATGTTGTAAAAAATATTGTATACCCAACGTGATTGATATCTCGGAGTAGGATAAATTTCTTTCGAGTAACGAAGTTATATAATTAATTATACTTCGATAGTTAAGTCAACTTTACACTTTACTAAGAGTAAGGAACATCAAGATCGTGCTTTCTCCATGCGTTCTGCTAAGATACGAATAGTTACTCAACCTCGACACGATTTGTCTTGGCCAATGAAAATATGAATGAGAAATATTTGATTTCCCCAAATTTTTGGGCGCACAATAACATTATCGTCATTGTTCTTTTGACTATGACTATATGTTTATGCATTCATCATTGCTCGTCGCCCGTCGAAAAACTTGTACAAGCCGACTCGACCTTGAAATAAGAGAACCATATATGTATACTATATTACCTTCTTCTAAGCAAGTGCTTGGAGAAAATAAACTATCCTTTCCTTCAAGTGTAGTCATTCTCAAGAGGCCATGTAGTGAAGGATGCTACATTCACAAGCTTAAAATTTGAGTAAAATGATTGAACAATATCCCTATAAGCTTATAATATGAAATTAGCCCCACCATTTCATATAAAATTAGTAAATAGTCTAGAATTAAGTCCCACCACTTCACTTTTACAAAAATATTAATGTATCAAACTTTTAACCATACCAATAGAAACAACTCGAAATATTAGCACTTTTACGTTAATTTTTTTTTTTCCTTCCTTTTTTATGTAATGTCGGGGAAAGCCACTAACTTTCCCCATCTCTTCGAATTTTACCTTGACAAATGGCTCAATGGGAGAACTCATTAAACAAAAAAAGTTACTTTGATTTGAACATTTTACAGATAAGTAATTTACAATCATACGATTATTACATTCTTGTCAAATTTTGGACCAAAATATAAAGGGATAGATATTCTAATAATTTTTTTTTTTTTGAAATGAACTGTAATTTCATTAAAGTCGCAAAAAGCGGATACAAGGAGGAAAACCCTCCAACACATTGCTCTCCTAAGAGAGGTTGAGTGCAACCATATCCAAGCAACAACAGACTAATCAAAACAAGACCCAATAACAGACAGAACATAAACAATACAAGACTCAACAACAGACTAAACAATACATGACCCAACAACAGACTAAACAAAGCAAACCGAAGTCGAAAAACAGCTGTGATTTTACAATACAGGAAAAATCCGACTTAAAGCCAACTACGCGTTCATCACTTGAAACAGATATTCTAATAATGAAACATAGGAACCAACGAGTACTCGTAACTATCCTAGTCCCAATTCCACCTTTAACTTTGTATCAAATTCCCACTCGTCAACTTCCAACAAAACTCCCACCCACACACGCTTCGCCACCACTGTCTATCTCTATATGTATGTATGTATGTATTTTTTGCAAGAATTCTTTGAGGATTATTAATATATCTATGCCTTTAAGCTCCATGCCAAAACCCATGAAACAAAATTAGGTACATCAACAAAAAAATGTCAACTTCTGATGGTAATTCATCCATCAGAAGCCTTAGTGAGATATCAGAACAGGAAACTGTGCGCTTCAGTGTCGATCTTGTGGCTGCTGCTAAAAGAAATCTCGGATTTTTAAAACTTGTTAATGATTCCCATTGGCTGCACCAAAAACCCACCATTCTTGAAGCCATTAGAAGGTATTTCTTTCACTTCTTCTTTAATCCGTACTGGCGATTCTGCCGTGTTCTTAAATGTTAATATTTGAGCATTAAACGGATTAAAGTGGGTGTTTGAGTATTTGGACTCTCATATCGTATTGAGTTCTGTCTTACAACCTAATCTTGTGCAAATGTATTACTGTTTTCATGGGATTCTACAGTTCACAAATACTAGATTTTACTTTCAATATTGTTGTCAAAACCACCGCAAAAGGAGATGAAAACTGGGTTTTGGCACTAGATTTACATTTATTGTGTTTAAGTAAATATTAATTGCTGATTTTGTAGGTATTATCAGCTATGGATGCCATTATTTGCTGACCTTATTTCGGGGTCAAAGCCTCCATTGATTCTTCCCCCTCTTGATATTGAATGGGTTTGGTATTGTCATACTTTAAATCCGGTAAATGTCTATTTCATCACTCTGCAATGAGTTTTTTTTTTAGTGAGTCAATTTCTATATGTTGTGTTAATTACTTCAATAATCTTGATTTTCAGACCAGTTATAGACATTACTGCGAGTCGAGATTCTCGAAACTGATAGGAAAACCGACCATATTTGATGAAGAAAATGAAGAGTATGCATTGAACAGGTGCAGAGAAATCTGGGAACATAGATATCCATCTGAACCTTTCGAAAATGAAGCTGATACGAACTCGGATGATCAGCCAATTTTTCCACTAGATCTATTGGAGGAAGTATCAAAGCACAGATATTTGTACAATAATTTTTCTGAACCATACAGTTCAGATATGGCGTATTTAATTGCATCAAAACAGAGGTATAAAGGATTTATTTACATGATGCTAAGATTTGCAAATGAATGCTCCCGTCTGGTGCCCACTTCAGATGTTCTATTAATGTGGCTGACTCATCAGGTGCGTTTGTTATCATCTTTGATTAGTAAACTTTCTTGTTTCGAGTCTACTGGTCTATTGTTTCCAATCAAAACATAAACAAATAAATCTGTTGAATCCCTAAACAACACAAGTTTTTAGATGAGATAGTTCGACATTATATCAAATTTGACGTTGGTTCATGGCTCACTGCTGCCAATAAATGAAATCTCCACATATTGGATCCATGATGAAAAATGAATTTTCCCTTCAAGTTACGGGATGCGTTGAATACAAAATACAAGAAATATGGAACTGCAAAGGAAAGTTAAAGGAAAAACCAATATGTTGGTAGGTGTTGTGGATTAAAGTAAATTGAAGGATATATTATTTTTTTCCTAAAAATGTTCTTGAATATATTATAGTTTTCAAGATTCATTGCTTCAAGGAAGTACCTATATGAATATTAGTATGGCACATGGAGCATGTAACTTGTTTAACTTTAACATGTGAAAGAGCATTAGTTCTGTGACCTTTGTCCCTATTGCTTTTGTGGTTGTTTAATTTATTAGTATTGCTATACACCACATGGTGGTGATACATGAATCCTGAATTATTAGTTCAAATAAATAGAGTGATAATGTGTCATCTCTTCTTTTATTTTTCTAATTATTTTGCTCCATTTTTCTTACAAGTTCTAGTACTTGGCAACTTTCTGGGGGATAATTGACCTTTTTTCGTATTTCGACTTGTATTCTGTAATCGAGCTTATGTAAATATATTCCCACACATGGTTGCATGTGATTTTTTGCATTCATGGTCTATTATAGAGATCATATATTTCTTATTCTAATTTTTACATCCATTATTTTCATAATTTTGTGCATCTTTATAATTAGATAAATGTTTTGTTAAAATTTACATACCTGTGATGATGAAATGCTGCCTTTTTTTGTTTATATAAATATTAGAGCTATCCAACAATATATGCAATGGACATTAAAGAGTTGGAGGGGGATATAAAGAAGATAGTTGGGCCATGGGAAGCTGTGGAGGAGGAAAACATTGAAGAAACCAAAATGCTTTGGGAGAGAACTTTTGATCAACCATATGAGAAAGCTGGTGGTGCAGCCGTTGGAAGTACTATCAATATCGAAATGCCTTTTTACTGGGATGTATCAGATATTGATGTTAACACAAGATATAAGTCCATGGCGCCCCGATTCTTGTTTGAGGTTGTTGGCTGTTGATACTATCACTTCCAATTCATTTTAAAGATATTTGGTAGAAATGATTGAATAGCACTAGACAATACCAAGAAACATAAAGAAGCTAAAGTCTAGCTTATTATATTGTTCAGTTCTATCGATAAAGTGTACCCAAACACACACTTCATATATATCTATCAAAATAGAAAACATGTGCTTTACATGTTTAGTTAATGCAAGTTGTTTGAATGCATTCCTTTTTTTATAATAAAAGATGATGTTTCCTTTATTTTAATACAATAAATTTCTGCATATGTTAATAGCTCAGACACATGCACCCTGCCGTGATTGCCGGTTATTAATAAATGAGACATGAATGAACATTCTTAGTTTTTTATATCGCAAAATGTGGTTAGTTGGGTATTTGTTGGTTGTTTGAACCTACTTGATTCTGTTTACGTTAAAATTGCTCGGTGTGTGTGAATATAATAGAAATATCATAATGATCACAAGGCTTGGCTCATAATAGCAGGCATTGTGAGTTTATGAACTTTTTACAGAATGGTTTTATCTTTTTTCTTCTAATCAAATCATTTTGCCATATTTGTGATTTAAGAGTGTGGCAGTTTTCACCAAGTAAACTGATATGTAATGATTGTGTCTTGTGAACGCAGCTCTGCGTATCTGTGAAATTGAACACGAAAATGAAACAAATGGAAGGGAATTTTTCCCGTGACTTTCTCCGTCTCCGTATGGTGAAGTGTCACAAGGAGCTCAAACTAGATAAATCAGTATCTAAATTCACCTCAGAATCGTGGAAAAAAGCTTGGCATCTTTACTGTGAATTTGGGACAAAAGGAACAATACTCGAGCTCCGTCAGCAAGGAGGCCAGTGCTTTAAAAGTAGTACCCTGCAACAAAGCGTACAATATACTTGGAATGACTTGTTACGTGCACCGTCTCTCACTTCAGATAAAGAGGTCAATCAAAGATTGAGGGCTGTTGCTTCGATCACTCCACCTGTGCAAGCATCTTACTTGCTGAAATGCGTTCCGGACCGAGTAACGGATGATTCAGGTGCAATGGTATCAGATGTAATTCTGAAAATGAACCAGTACAGGCCTCAAAAAGGTCGATGGTTATCTCGAACTGTTCTGGATCATGCTGGAAGAGAGTGTTTTGTTATTCGAATGAGGTAACAAAATTTCCTTATTTAACAAGCTTATGATTTTCAGTGCATTTAACCACACTGCGGCTTGATCTGAAATTTCCTATTTAAATGGTAGAGTGGGAGGCGGGGTTTGGAGGAGAGGGGGTGAAGCTCCTTCAACCGTAAAATGGGAGGAAAGGATTATAGAAATACGCGAGGGTTCTTGGTCTTATGTTAGCAATTCCAGTTCCATTGGTCGTGCTCCTGGTACGTATATGAATTCCCCTTTCCCTGCCCCCTTCGTGTCTCTGTGTCTGACTTGTGTCAGCAACATCAGTTTCTTATATTGAAGGTCAAAAGAAGGAAAAAGAATAATTAGTGTACATATTGCATGCACTATTAGACTATATGAGACATTATAATGAACAAGATCCTAGTTTATCCAACTCTTCTTTAATACTGTCTAGTAACATCTAATTTACTTTACCAATCAAGGCATTAAGCTTTTATCATTTCTTTTATTAAACAGGCAAAGCAGTTAATAAGTTCATCTTATTTGTGCTGATTTTGAAAAGAGCATGATTACTAAATCTCTCTTCGGTTTAAGTTTTTGATGGATTTTTTCTCCTAATTTTTCCTTGTTATTTGATTGCGTAATGCCATCTAGTACAGAGAAAGTGGTAGGAACTGCAACACCAAAAGAACCGCCCGAAGGGTGCCAAGCTTATTGGAGTTTGTCTACAGGCAATGAACTGTTAATACAGTGGGACCCATCAACATCTACCTCAGGCCCAACTTTTAATCTTCAAAATAAACAATCTACTGAATCAGTGGTGAGAAATTCTTTTTAACTTATTAGAAAGAGTTGCATGCAATATGGACCATGACATGAAATTTATGAAAAATGATTGGTTACAGGTAAAGCTGTTGAAAGGGCGACAACTGCAATATCGGGTAAAAAAGTCTGGCTTAAAGGCTGAAGAAGGAAAAGAAGACAGTTATGTTGAAGAAGATGAATTTTTGACTATAGTTAGGTTCTCGGAGGAAAACCCAACAGGGAAAGCCACTGCTCTTTTGAACTGGAAGCTACTCGTCGTTGAAGTATTGCCGGAAGAAGATGCAGTTTTCGTACTTCTTCTCTGCCTATCAATACTCCGAAGCATATCAGAAATGAAGAAAGAAGACGTCGGAAGCTTACTATTAAGGAGGAGGATACGAGAAGCAAAGGTTGGAGATAGAGATTGGGGGTCGGTTATACTTCATCCCTCCTCGTATTCTCCATCCATTTCTTCAACTTATCTCCTCCCTTGGTACTGGAACGCAGAGTTGTTTATGGTATCACAAGTACAAGATCAAATCGTGAATTCACCAGCTTCAAATTATTCACTAGCAGAAGGCGGAGATAAGCTGTATAAACAAGGGATAATTTCTTAAACAATACCGATTATTTGTGATAGATTCTACACAGGCAGAGTTGTAACATTACATTATCCAGGATCTTCCTGCTGAAAATTTACTGTGTTTTCGGGGTCTTGTAGATGATCTTGTTCAATTGCTGATACTAATCTTATTCTTAACTGTTAAATGAGATATGCTGTGACTTGGGAAAGGTGCAGATGAACAGATAAAATTTGATTGCTTATTATGATATAAAATAATTAACCTTATTATTTGCTCCATCCATTTAATCTATGGACCTTACATGTACATCAAGCTTTACGTAATGAGTTACATAATGTCACATGTCACTCTATCATTATACAGTCAACTTTTTCATTTAATCTTTTACCCCCACGTCAATAAGCTGTTTTCCCTTACCAGACAATCTCTATGAAACAATAATTTCTCCTAATTTCTTGGACTAATGTCTGGTTTTTTTCGTTGTTTCTCTGGAAACCACAAATTCCTTAACAGAAATAACTGCCTTCACAAATTTCGTCCCATGTTTTTAACTCCTCAATCTATTAAGTTTTGTGGTATTAACATTCTTCAAGCCAACAGTGCTTGTTCTTGTTTTTCATAATTTGCAAGGAGAGGGTCAAGTAGTTCTATAGGCCCTTCTCCATTTCGTAGAACAAATTAAGAAAAAAAATTGAGAGAGTGATTGAATTAGAGAGCTTTGTTGTGTTTAAAAAATGGCAAACAAGAAAAAAATTGCCACACTTGGTATATCTTCTATATTATTGGTAGCCATGGTGGTTGCTCTCACCATCGGTACCCGGGAAGACGAAGAAAACAACAGTTCTGGTCGCCAGGATATATCTTCATCTTCGAAGGCCATCCAAACTATCTGTGGATCAACGGACTATCAAGATACGTGCGTCGATACCCTCAAATCTTCAGGCAAAAACACTAGTGACCCCAAAGAACTCATCGAGCTCGCTTTTGAAGCAACAATCAAGTACATTGAAAATGCTGCTAAGAACTCAACTGTCTTGCAAAAGCTTCAAAGCGATCCCCGGGCAAAATCAGCACTCAATAATTGCCACGAGCTAGCAAATCATGCGGTTAACGACCTCAGGAGATCGTATAACAAGTTTAAGGAATTTGATGTAGCTAATTTTAGTGCCATGCTGTCTGATTTGAAGATTTGGCTTAGTGGAGCCATCACATATCAAGAAACATGCTTAGATGGATTTGAAGATGTCCCTGGAGATGCAGAGGAGAAAATGAGGGAGGCTTTGAAAAATGCCATGGAATTAACAAGCAATGGTTTGGCTATGGTGACTGAAATCTCGACTGTGATCGAGTCTTTGGGTGTCCAAGGATTTAACAATCGTCGTCTCCTTTCCGAAGATATTCCTATTATGGGACATCGTGGTGAAACTCCCGACTGGATTGACATTGAAAGGCGTGAACTTCTTAGTTCCAAGCCTAAGAAAATCAAGCCTGATCTTGTTGTAGCGAAGGACGGGTCTGGGAAGTACAGTACCATTAACCAAGCCTTGAAAGACATTCCGAAAAATGGCAACAAGACTTTCGTGCTCTACATCAAAGAGGGTGTATATGAAGAGAAGGTGCAGTTCAACAGCAGCATGACTCATTTGTTCGTGATTGGTGATGGCCCGACCAAGACGAAGATAACTGGACATCTGAACTTCATAGATGGAACTAACACCTACCAGACAGCAACAGTCGGTATGTCAATTAATGCATTACTGTGTACCCAACATGCCCTAAATATTCAGAATCTGCCTTTTTTTACTTGATATTACCTTTTTAACAAATGGAACACTCATTGTTCGCTGTGTACGTGCATGCACGTTTTGCAATACTAATGGAAAATACATTTTTTTGCAGCCGTACAAGCTGACAATTTCATGGCCAAGGATATTGGGTTCGAAAACTCAGCTGGTGCCGAAAAGCATCAGGCAGTGGCATTGCGTGTTAGCGCAGACAAGGCAATCTTCTACAATTGTCAGATGGATGGCTACCAAGACACGCTTTACGCACACACGTACCGCCAATTCTATAGGGATTGTGTGATCTCAGGTACCATTGATTTCATTTTTGGCGATAGTGCTGCTGTTTTCCAGGGATGCACATTGGTGGTTCGAAAGCCTATGGACAATCAGCAAAACATTGTGACAGCACAAGGCAGGAAGGACGTGCGCCAGCCGACTGGACTTGTCCTCCAAAACTGCACCTTCACTGCTGATCCCGCATACTATCCAGTCCGCAAAACGCTCAAATCATACCTCGGCCGACCCTGGAAAGAATACTCTCGAACCATCATCATGGAGTCATATCTCGATGATCTGATCCAACCACAAGGGTGGTTGCCATGGAACGAGACGTTTGCTCTTGAAACGCTGTTTTACGCTGAATTCAACAACAGAGGCCCTGCTGCACCTAAGGCACTGCGGATTAAATGGCCCGGGGTTAAGGAACTTCCATCCAACCGGGTTGAACGCTTTACAGCAGCCGAGTTCATTGGTGGTGATGTATGGATACCTTCCACAGGGGTGCCTTATGCTCCAGGCTTCATATTCTCAGTTCCAAAAGAAGATCCAAATGTGAAATATTCTCCCGTTGTACCAGAAGAAAACAGAGATTTGGGGAAAACCGACCAAAAAGAATCGTACATTCCTTCAGAAAAGAAAGACAAAGACAAAGATGAAGATAAAAAGAAAGAAAAAGATGATGACGAAGATGAAGACAAAAAGAAAGACAGAGACAAAGATTCAGACAAAAAGAAAGATTCAGGTGACGAGAAAGAAAAATCTTCGGACAACTCCAAATCTGATTCTGGATATGATTTTGTAATCGTTGAGGTTCCCGCGCCATCTACCAACAGTGACTCAGCCACGGTGCCTAGTTCAATCGCAGCATCTCCATACGCGGCTGCACCAGCTCTTAGCCCAACCTCGCCACCCAAGCAAGATAAAAATTCGATGCTGAAAAAGTTTTTCGGTTGGATTTAAGGACTCTTTTATATAACCAACATCGTTTGATTACCTTGTCCCTCAGCTGCTTCAACTATTTCATGACAATTCCAACAGCATGGAATCATTTGTATATACATGTATTAAAGTAAAATTTTGCAGTCTCTGAAAACAAATTTTCTTTTCCGACTGATTTTGTAATATATTGTAGAATTATCATGGATATTTCTGTGGTTGAATTACCTGCATTCTACACTACAAAATGCAAGTTAAAATTCACATTGAATTGAGTTTGACACAATTAATGTGTCAACTTACTGGAGAATTTTATTTGAAAAATAGAGGATTTGAGCCCTCTCCATTTTTTTGTGCATTTCAATGTTCTAATTTTCTCGTCTATGATCACTTTCTCCACTTATAAGAGAAGTTTATGGAGGTTGAAGCTGATCTTGTAGGGAATTATTGATCAATTCTAAACAAATTTAGGTATGTGTGTCAGGTAAGATCACATGATGAGTTTATCATGAACTTACGTGACTACAAAGTTTATAATAGGCAAATAATGTCAATATTTTCATGTCACGATATCCTTTATGCTTGGGGGTAAATTTCACTTTGAGTTCTCAACCTTTCGTAAGTGTGACTGTGATGTCCAAACCTACTATAGGTTATACTCACATCCTCGACTTTTTAAAATTGTGGTGTTCATGTTTCTAACGGAAAATGTTTATTTGAATATGATTTCTGCATTTATTTAGAAATCTGATTAAGATAAATTCCTTAGTGTTCATGTCCCGACCTCATGTGAGTGTTACATGACCATGACCATTTAACTTGGAATGTTGGCCTCACAGTTTTGAACTTGGCCACATTGGCTTTTGTTTGTAGAACGTAAAAATGTTGATCTTCAAAAGATAATTATACTCACATTCAAAGTAACAGAGACGAGATGGTAAAGAATAAGTGGAAATGAAATAGCATAAAGTCGATAAAAGAAAGTATGAATATAACGCAAAAAGCATATTTGCCGAGTCTTGACGCAAAATTACCCTACTGTTGGCACGTCTTAACGCAAAAGCACGACCCATAACGTACCAAACCATCATTCATCAGTGTGTAGGACTTTTCCCTATTACACATTTCCTCCATGTTTGCTACTTAGAAAGACGCAAAATGTTGAGATGAAACATAGTTAATTAAAGTGGTCTCAACCAAAATCAAACTTCAGGATGATCACCATTTAATAGGTGGAATAGCTCTTGATTTGCACAAGCCTCAATCTAAGCGCTCCATCTGCGAATTTGAAAAAAAAAAAAAAACCCACCAAGTGGTGATTAACACAGCTTATTTGAGGCAAGATCCCATATCATCGTCCACCTATTCTGCTAACTTAAAAAGGAATTCAATTTCAAGTTACAGAAAAATTGAAAAAAACTCAATGCTAGTGGTTCATTTACAATGAACTAACACATTTGCTTGGTTTATTCACCGCAAAATCAAGATGATGAGTATATTCTCATTGCTAGTTAACGAGACTTTTAAAAGCATGCAAAAATTCACAAGTATGTACCTTCCAGAGGCCATCGTTAAGATAATGAATGTTATCCACCCCAATTCCTTTGTTGATTGTCCGACTGCAGTGACAAGATCATGGAATGTATAAGCAACTGAATTTTTTCTATTTTTATAAACATGCTACTGCTATTTATTTTACGTGTTCGGGTTTGGAGCCTATGTATTTTCCTCAACCCAACATCTTCCAAAACTATGCAATATTTTCATTTACCTATTTGTTTTCATGAACAAAGAGAAGAGGAGAGAGGGAGGCAAAAGTTTGTAAGAGATAGAAGCAACATAAAATTTTCGTTTTTAGACTTCCAATTTCATTTTCAACCAAAGATTTGCACAAATTTGACATTTATTCCAAAACAAAAACAGGAACTTACATATCTTTTGCCGACATTTTTGTAAATCCAATAGCCAGAGCATGCTGCTTCCCTTCAGCCATTATAGCCTGATAATTGGAGTAAGTTAAATATCGAGACCGATAAGTAGTTGATTAAAACAGTGTAGGTGATAAATTCAAATAGAACACATAAGAGAGAGATGATATTAAAATGGGCACTTGAGAAGCAATATATATAGCATTAAACCAAGAACAAAACTGAAATACAGCATAACAAAATGTGATTATTGTGAGTCATACCACAGGAGTTTCTGCCCCCACTTCTTCGTCTAAGGCACCCCCAGGAGAAGTAAGCCCTGGACACATTATGTTGGCACCAGAAAGGACAAATTTTATTGCCCCCCTGTCAACTTGTAATTTCTTCATTACGTTTGGATCTGCAAAAAGACAAGGCATAACCTTAAATAAATAAAATTTACATTAGGTACACAAATTTATTTTTATTCAGATTCATTCACTTTGATAACAAATGAAATAAATCAAACTAGTGAGTGGTAGAAAACTGAAACTAGTAGCGCTCAATAGTTTTCTCCAGACACATCACATATCTTCTCTACTTAATTAAACAGGAGGAATAACAGGAAAATTCACACTCCCTGCTGTATCATCCTAGTTACTTGCCAGGTCACATGAAATAATAACTTTACTAACCCCCCGCAGGAGAACCAGCAACTGTAATTTAAGGCAGTGTGGCATAGCATAAACTTAAGCATCAGATTGTCTTTTTAGCCTGACAACATCATGGCTCTCTTATAATCAATTTTTAATTTTGATCATCTCAATTACATGTACAATAATAACATTCTCCAAGTATTTCCTCAATATCACAACCATAATCTAGGGCACCATAACTAGCTAAATGATGCTATCATAAGCATTGCAGTTAATTGCAACTATGTGAGACATAATTTATCACGACAAACATAAATCAAGCATAAGAAAAAATCGCTATATGGAATAGAATAATGGTATTTAGCACCAGATTATGTGGCAACAAAGTGGCATTAAAAGATATATCCAATGAAATGTAAGGATACAAGACCTATTTTATTGGACCTATCACTTATTGCCATTGTGTTGTGATGCTAGATAGCATTACTCTATGGAATAACATTGGCAGAGAGACTGTTAACCACATCGTTTTTATTTCTTTCGGAAAAGATCAATATCAATTTTCAACTCAAATAAAGTAACATTGCTGTTCTTGTTTCACAGTAGGACCAACAAATTTGCTAACCATGCAATTGATTATACATGAAAAAAGGTGCTTTGAAAATAAAATGAGATAAATGAACATTTTTGAGATGACTGCATCTATATATGAAACTGGTTGCCATTCCTCACTGGGACCTAATTAGAAAAGGGACAAAGTGAAATCCAGATTTAAGTTTTTAGGCAAAAACTTTGTGGGCTTCAGAAAAGATTTGTGTGGATCAATTTGAGTATTTTGGAAACTATGGAGCAAGACAGACAACATAAGAAAAGGAAAAAGAAATCAGATTCAGAGAGTACGTGTCCAACTCTCTGGTTTTTCTAAGGCCAAGAAGCCTCACAACTTGGCTATATGGTAGGCATCAGGGACAAGCTAGGAAGGTCGAATGCTGAGTGGCCCATTGAAGAAAAAAGAGACTATCCACCTATCTGGTTTCAATTTTTGGTGCTAATCCACCAGAGTTCATTTGTGATTGGGATAAACAGCCTGCTAACTAAAAATCTGATGAACTTATGATGATATACTTTGAAACTGAAATACAAAAAAGCTGGTTGTGAATGGATTGATTTATTAGATCATTTTACGTGTAAAAAAAAAAAGGCAGTTCAGCATAACAACAAGCTACTAATATTTCAATTGAGTTAATGATCTTATCTTATTGGAGACAAGAAATCAAAAGATGGGTAAGAATGAATTAGAGTTGAGGAATTGAAGAAAGTTTCATATGTTCAATTAGAATGAACCAAAGTCTTTCAACAGAATTCTCTTGGTCCATTTGATACCTCATAACCAGACTGGAGTCCATCCCTCGTGGGCTACCAGAAAAAGTACTCCAAGCCAAGTCAGTGTACTTCAACACTTAACTCTAAATAATACTCTTATTAGCCTAATCTAGAGCTACTTTCAAAGGTTTCATCTTCAAGTGTACTATCAAGCTCAAGCCAAAAGTAAAATTAGCCACATATTTAACCCGCTTAAAATAAAGCTAAAGATAATAATAAATAAGTCACCAAGAAATGGTTAAAATGGCCCCATCTTTATCAGGCAACACCTACTTTTCATATGCCAACCTTTAGTGACATTCAGAGTACAAAAGAATTCGTAAGGTCTTTGCACTACGTGGGAAAATTATTTCATGGTAACAAATTATATTTATTTCTTAATCCCAATCCACTGCCATCAATTGGTTACCTACTTTGTGATTTATTTACCAATCAAAATGCTAGTTTAGATATCTCAATCTAAATATTATAAACCTATACGAGTGCTCTCTTCACAGCTTCAATCACATTCTAATTTGAAGATCACTACACTCGTGCGATTGAAATGAATGATAAAATATGTGAAAAGTAAAGAGTTAATTTATCTATGGGACAAAAGAACATTTACATGTTACTTCAAGTGTCATTTTTTTTTCATTGTCTGCCAAGTATATTGACTTCATCAAAATAAAGAAACAAATAAATTTTCCAAGTCTATGAATGGTTATTTTTTGGAAAGAAAAATAGGAAAAGAAAAAGCAATTGAATCTTCTTATATTTCCTCGTATCTCGTTGACTTGGACATCCAGCGAAGATTTTTGTTTACACAATATAGAAAAAGAGGTCCTGGGTTGATTATGTAGTTCAATAAGCTGATACAAGTTTAAATTTTTTTAGTAATAATTGCTTAAATTTATTACTGGCACCTTTGTATGTCTTCTTTCAAAATTCACACGGTAATACTTTCTATGCTAAGCGTATTGATAGATTTCTTGTTCTTTGAACATCATTGCGGAACTCTAGCAATTATCACCAAAAGATAGTGGTTCAGCTAGTACTAATATTAAATCAGTTCAGGTATATTAGCTCTCAGCTAACCAGTCGGTTTCTATCCAGCATCTATTCCAGTCTATTTACTTCAAAACACAGTATGATTGTACATTTCAAACACGAATTACTTACACTGGTGAAGAAGCCGCAGTGTAGGCATATAAGGTCCGTCGCGTATGTTGAAGAACAGAGGCACATTGTTTACCAGAACTAAATTCAGATGATTTGGACTTCAAAATACAATAATATGCAACGTAAGAAATAGAATCATAGATAATAAGCTAGAAGTACAAGTAAACCAGTTGTGTAATTGTATTTTCTTCCAAAAGAGTACCATTTAGCAACAATTAGTGGAGACTTCTTTGGGAGCAAATCTTCTAATACAGGTTCAAGTCCTGGGTACTTCAATGAAGAGAAACATTGCTTTTAATTATATGTAAATTGATTGTAGAAAAAATTATTCAAATTTTACAATTATTGAAGAAAAGAGAAACAGCAATATTTCAAAACCTCTTCTGCAATACTTTGCCGGATTTTCCTCTGCACAGATGCTTTCACTTGATTTTGTGCAGAAACCTCTTCAGACGAGAACCTAAATATTATATAGAGAAGGCACTATATGAGTTATCACAATATTGGCAGACATGATACTAACAATAGCTAACATCAATATAAATACACTCAATAGCACTCAAATAAGTATTAGCAACCACAGTGGGTTGAAGTTAAATAAGATTCCAAGCAGAATCAAAACTTTAAAGAGAACTTAGAGAAGTATACAAAGTTTATGATACATCTACATATATAAGTGGTTGTTGATGCACCATAAGGGAAATAATAAATATGTGTATGCATCACCCACAAAAAAGACCAACTTTCAAAATCTAAAACCAGAATTTGCAGAATACTTAATGTACAGCTGAGACATTGCAAACACACAAATAGGATTAGAAGATTGCTTCATAGGACAATTTTGAGAAGATATAGAGGTTATAATTCGAAATATATCAATAGGAGATGGCTGGGTCTTTTCATAAGGTACGTTGCAGATTCGGTTTTGGAGAAGATATGGATGTACCATTTTGAGATAATGAGGAGAATTTAGTTCAAAATATACCTATAGGAGAAAACATTTTAAGAAAAAACGTTTAATGGTATTCAGAAAGATGGTGCTTTTGATAAGAACATTGCACATTTGGTTTTGGAGATAGAAATGGTGCCAGAGCGTTAATTCTAAAAATCTCTTTGGCCCGTGACCTTCAGAGACCGGCTTTACAAGAACACGGATGAACACCGTCTAAGAATGCGTTGAATAGGAGTCATATATATTTCTCTTGACAAGGAGAGTACACTAATCTAGCAGTAACTACCGCAAGGTTATCCATGCAGAGACATCATGATGGAGTGAGGCTGTTCAAAATTATATGAAGGTAAAGAGAACACGCTATAGGATTATGTGGCAAAAGACTACAGCTGGACAACATCTTGAAAATTGTAGAACGACAAAATAGGAAGCTACAAAAGGCTGCCAAAGAAGTAGAATTGATAGAGTAATGACAGGTTAAGATTATGTGGACCTAAATGGAGAAACTAAATTTACAGATTAGCTAATCTCAGAGAATGTAAAACTAGAGATATCATATTTACATTTATTTTTCTTCACTTCTCTTCTACCTCTTCCACCCTTTTCTCGTCTCCCAGACTATTATTTCCCCAGTCTTTATCTTCCACCATCTTCCTCTACTACTATTTCCCCATCCCCATCTTCCCCTAAACAATAACCTTCTCCATTTTCACATCTACCGCTTTTCCCTCTTACTGTATCCCAGAACCACGCCATTTCTGTTTCCAGAAGCTTAGGGCATGTTTTCTTTACCATTTCCAAGCCATTTTCTGTTTTTGATTTTTCAAAACACGTTCTCTTTCCTATTTTCGAAAACCCGTTTTTAAAAACAAGTTAAAAATTTACAAAGAAAACCCAAAACGACAAAGTGTAGTTTGGGGTGTTTTCAGTTATAATCAAACCAAAATTTTCAAAACGCGTTTTTTGTATTTTCAAAACAATTTTTCAAAATGCCACAAAAAATACATTTTCAACAATTTCAAAATGGACACTCAAAACACAAAACCCAAAATGAACTCAAAACACAAAACTGAAAAACAAAGAGAACGTCCCCTTAATCTTCCTCTCCGTTTCTCCATCTCCAAAATTCCTGACACTACTCTGAGTACTCTCCCTTCTTCCTCCATATCCTCTTTCTCTGGCTCCATCATCTCCTCCACACTGTTACATTGCTAGAATCTGATGTAATATTCAGGTTAGCTTCCTCGTACATTTTTATTTCAATTTATGCCACCTGGCATGTCAGACATGTTGATTCATAGATGGAACCAAATGTCTGGCTATTAAGAAACAACATTAGGAAATTGATAGAAGCTGAGACAAGAATGTTAACGTGAATATATTGTATAACAAAGAAATAACATAAGAAAATAGCATACCCATGAGTTTCTTAAGGTAGCACCCACTGAAAATAATTACTAATCATTCGAGATGGTATGCATGTATGCAAAGGTCATTCAATGCAACAGTCAGGAAAATTGATGGAATAAATATTATCAGTAAACTTCAAGGAATAGGAAACATAAAATCAAATGGAATGAAACTAAAAGGAATTTAATTCTTTATGGTGTAACTTTGGAGATGATCGTTAATAGATCAGAATGGGAAAAGAGGACCCTTGAAACCGATCCCACCTAAGTATGAAAAACAATTTTATTAAGCATCCGTTTGACAAATTATATAAATAGTCAAATTTCATTTTCAACCACACATCACAATAGACTCACAAGTAGTGTCCACTTATCCACAACTCATTTTTATCCATTTATAGATTAAACTATTTATAAATTTTTTCCCGAACGGAGGCAAAAATGAGTGAGCTTACTACGCTATTGCTTTAGCTCTAAACTGCGGTCAAAGGTAACCAAAAAATAAAGAAGAATTTCATTTATCATTTTAAAAGAAATAAAAGAATCGTCCACAAAAACTTCAAAAGAATATCACAAAGAGAAGAATCTATGTAACGACACAGATAAAACTCTATGACGACTCCATCTCAAGAAAATCAAATGCAAGAGAAGCTTGGAAGATGGATGTAGTCAACAGAGTCATGCTAGCATACTGATTGAATAGGGCACCGTAAAAACAAAATAGTTACTGAACATAAGTTTCAATGAGCAACAACATACAACACAAATATAGAACTAGAACTAAAAAGGTTTATATCCTACGAATGAGAATTGAGATTGAACTATCTAAAAATCTTGTTGGCATAGCATGAAATCTACTTTAATGTTATGCCAATGCCGATGAGGAATTGGCAACTGGGTCGACATCAACAGTAATGGTGCTACAGGGTCTAATGTAATGTCAATGTGCGCGAGTCTATTGTTACCAGTGTACATTGTCTTCCTGTCTCAAGAACAAAAGAAAGACGTAAACATGGACAAAAACCTACAAGATATCTCTTTATCAAAACTCCCCTGTTATCATGTCAAAAGCATGTCCTGCAATATTATGAAAAGCAAGGCAGTGTAAAAAATCACAGTTTAAATAATTGTGACTAAAACTAAGGTTACTAAAGAAACCAATACTTCGTACAACAGCCCTTTGAATTTCATCATCTTACACTATAAATCAAACCAAAATTGAATGAAGTGTTTTGCAATGATAATTGTATTTCCCAAAACTTCATAAAATCACCAAACAAGGCCAACTACATCAAGCAATGTGCTCTAGGCTCTTATGTGGGTATCCCAAAACCTAAATGTATCATTCCATTTTCCAACATAAACTTAAAACCTTTTCTACCCGTTATAGATAAGCCTAAAAACCAAAGAATATTTAGCTCTTTCAGCAGGTAATTTTACTCCAAGTCAAACCATGATTAGCTTTTATCCTTCCCTAGATACTAACTGACCTATATATGTATTTCAGTTGAAGTACATAATAAGATACATACTTTAAATACTCTCACGATCCTGAACCCAATCTCTTTTCCGCCGAGGAGTTCCTAAATCATTATATTCAATGAAAATGATCTCACCCCAAAGGTCAGCAAAAAATGTGGATTGCAGAACCCAACATACATTTCCATGTTTAGCGCGTCCAAATAAAAAATGATGTTATATATGTTGACTGTTGAAGGATTTAACAAAAAGAATCATAGGGACCTCTAATTTAGGTTTAAGTATCATTCCAGCAGACCCCTACAGCATTTTACTGGAATATTTGAACTGTTCCCACTCTTAAAATGTGGATTACAGCATCCAACATACCTTTCAATGTTTAGCTCATCCAATTAAAAAAATGATATTATATATGTAGACTATTGAGTTATTTAACAAAAAGTATCATAAGGACCTCCAATTTGGGTTCAAGTATCTTTCCAGCAGACCCCATACAGCATTTTAGCAGAATATTTTAACTGTTCCCACTCTTAAGAATGTACACACATATAAGTCAATTAGTGAAAAAATGTCTTTACTAATTTATTTTCCTCATTTCCACAGTGCTTATTAACTCTCAACACAAGTTATACCTATCTCGTACCATCTTTCGCTCAATCAAAATTTGAGTACTTTTGTACTTCTACTGTATTATATCAACCAAAGAGGCATACTACAGACAATAGCCTCTAACACCATTAAAAAGATATAACAGGGTGGTACTCCATTGTGATAAACAAATTATATTCTCGCACTAAATTTCATTGTAGTATTATTTATACCTTATAATACAATGAGAAAAAGATTATATACAGTTTTGACTATCATTTGCTTAAGTTGACGTGCAACCTTTCCAATCTAGTTGGATTTATTTTTATTTTTTTTTTGGGCGGGGAGGTCTACAGAATGGAATAGCACAAAAACAAACTTGAATTCTAGAGCTGCAAAGTAAAGCTTCTGTCAAAGAGTATGTCGCTGACTGCATGAATTTCAGATTGAAACCGTAGAACAATGTATAGCATGGCATGGTCATAAAATTGACACCAGCTACAAGTCCAGAGTGCAAAAGCACTGATATTTGGATAAATGAGATGCGTCAAAGCAAAAACTAGAGATGAATTAGGCCAAGACTGTTTAATACAGTGGATAACTTACAAAGACACCCACAAAAAATTCCTTTCACAAAGAGGAACAAATAACCTCTAAATACCTCCACAAAATGAACAGGAAAATGCATAGAAGATCCATAGTGTCTGGCAGAAGGTAAAAACGAATGACCGAAACGCATGACATCAAGCCTCTTTACATGTTCTGTGATAGTCATTTCTACCATTTAAAATCTGTCACATAATTGCTGCATCACAACTAGGATTGCACGCAATAGGGAAAAATGTATGTTAACAAATCTATACATCTATACATGTGTGTTATTGCCAGTCTATTAGTCGCATATAGTAAGATTTTTAGTTCGCCACGGCCAGGTCCACTCCTCCTCTCCTCAACAAAATACTTGATCATTTCAGCCCAAATTACAAGATTTTCTTTTACATCTAATGACATTGCTCTATGCAACAATGGTTTCAGATCAAGCCCTTCTATAAAAATCTTGTATGCGCCTAAGGTCACTTCTTTAGTTCAACACATATACTATTGCGAGAATAAGTAAATAGACAAAAACAATAGTAATTCTCCAAGAGGAGGTAAAACCCACCGGAAATACCCAAAAAGAGAGAAGCCAGATTAATGTCGAAAACAAACTCCTTAATCAAAATAACGAAATGGTCATGAAAAACCAAAAAATACAGGTATACACTCATCAAACTTTATGTAAAATCAAGAGTAGAAATCATGATTAATAGAAACAGGAAAGCAATAAACCGGGGTGTGTGCTTGCGTGCCGTAGAGAGAATGAATAAAACACTTACTTCTTGAACATTTTTAAGTTGAATAGGAGGTAGGGTTTTAAGAACTTGGCACCGTATTATTCAAAATTCCAAGAAATTCGATGCGTTCCGGAACAAGATAGATTAAATTTGAGTCTAAGCAGCGTTATGCTGAAGCAAAAAAGTGGAGAATATTTTGTTTATAAATTACTATGTGAACATAGGGCAGATCTTGCTATGGTAAAATTCAGATTCGAATTCATAATCGGTGAAAATGTAGAATTAATTATTTGAGTGGTCACTGAACTTCCCTTGGTGATGGAACTTCAATTTTTTTCTGGATGGTCCTCCCTTTTCAAATGTTTTACCCATTAATCATTCGTTTGGATTCCATTTATTGGAGCTAAGAGTCGTGCCCATTTGTAGGGGTGTTAAATAGGAAAAGTAAAGCCGCGCAACTCGCTTATGAGGAAGAGTGCACGAGCTAGCTCGCTCAACCAAAGCAGGCTCGGCTTGCCTCATTTGAAAAGGCCATTTTTCACTCAATTTCACGAGTTGGCTAGTAGAGGAGCGAGCTAGAATCGTGTCCACGGCCAACTTAATATCGTTGTCGATTTATTAAAAGGAAATTACATTTGGTGCTATTGTACCATCAAATGACGCTCCAACTTGAACTCCCTCTTTGCCAACTATTCATTTCGCACTATCAAATTGCCCCCAAATAAATAAAAAAGCAACTTTAAACATATGCCCTTGAAGACCCAAATTTCATTATCATTTTTCCCAATTCGCAAAATCGAGCACTTCAAAAACCCTAACCCTACCCCAAGTTCTAGAAATTGGAGTGTAAAATACAAAATTCTTCGTTCAATTTCAACCAAGCAGGTGTGACATTGTGGACAGTGCTCAATCTTGAGGACCTCTTGGATGAAAGATAATCAAGGTAAAAGGTTTCGTGGTTACAACTACTGTAGTAAGTATCACAGGGTTGATTTGTCGACCTGCGATGGTTTCAATTTTTCCATCCTTGACCAGCCAATACAAGATTTTACAATCCTGCATATGAAAATACTCAGGATTTGACTATGTAGCCTATTGAATTAAGTAAAATAGAAATACTGATTTTACGGAAACCGTCCTGTCTTTATTTTTTACAAAAATAAAGAAATGTGTAGAAAAACATGAATGGGCCAACACAACACGTGTTGCCTCAATCAAATTCTCCCTCACAATCTACGTCTCTATCCCAAGATCCCAATAATTAGAAAATTAAAGACAAGTTTTGTATGACAATTTACACCCCATATTGATAGAGCCAGTTTTGTAGTTTTTCAACCCCACATGGACTGAAAGTGTCCATAATTCAAATACAAAACATAATTGCCTTGTAAATGTTGTCACATACCCTGCTTGTATCTGAAAATATATTAAATTCATGGACTGAAGTCAACTGAACAGTAATGTCTCAATGCTTCTAAACACATGCTTGCATCAACCCATCAATCAATGTGAAATTTGACGTGTGTCCCCAAATTTCGTCATGCGATGCAGCCGTCAAGTAAATCTTGTATCTTCATGCCTCCATTACTTCTTGTCTCACAATTCCAACATGATGCCTTGCTTCATCCTCCTCGAATATGTGCATTATCTGGACATCTCGCACGCCTTCGATCAAGACATGGCATCAATTAAGACATCACCGTGCCATTGCCATTTTCTCAGTTAGGATCACATATCTGTGATTCATTTACATGGTTTAATCCACCTCCACATCCAATATGCAAATTCGTAATTAATTGGACGCTATAAGACTCGAACAAATGGACATTGGGAAATGGCAAACGAGCTTCAAGTTTTATAGCGTCGGATTTTCAATTCTATTTTGTATTTCATTGTTATGCTCGTTTATTAGGATGTTTTGGTCCTTAGGCTTGCAAGAATAGGGTGTGTGTGAGATGTTTAGGAAATTAGAGTGAAGTATATGATTAAATGACACACGAGGCATTTACAAGTGGCCTTTGCATTGGCTTTTATCAAATTATGTTATCAAGGTTTATAAAAATGAAATGCCAGCGGAATTGTTCGATGTTTCTGTCATCTTTATACTTCTTGGTGTTTATTAAGATGTGTAAAATAGATGTTTGTGCAAAGAATTTTATTAAGATTTGTATCCTAACTAAATTGAAAGAGGGCAAGGATATAGCTAAAGTTCAGGGTTCAAGCACAACTATTGTCTTTATATGTAGTTGCAGCGTCGGTCCCAAACCTTTAATTCCGTCCATAAAACCGTCAGTCAACATTTCAACAATAATTTTGACTCGAAAAA